TAGTCTCACACACATGCATAAATGTAGTCTCACACACATATAAAAATATGTAGTCTTACACACATACATAAATATATAGTCTCACACGCATGTATAAATGAAGTCTTATAAACACACACTTACACAAACACTCCACGTTCAACAACTAGCTAGCCCACTATAACGACTTTCCCCTTGACACCTTTTCGTTCCCATGGCAATATGTCTTTGAGTTGGTTATTTTCCACAACACTGATCTTCTTAGGAAAGTTTGTGAATAGCGGCATCTCATCGTAGTTATTATAAGCTTCAACATCATCCATACCATCAACTCCGATAATGTGTTGTTTCCCGGAGGCAACCATGTGCTTTGTCTTTTTCTTCAGGGGGAGGTTACTTTGTGGGTCAGACATATAGAAAACTTGTGCGACACGTGAAGCGAGCACCCAAGGGTTATCTTGGTAGCCTAGATTCTTGAGGTCCAGGACTCTCAATCCGATCTCGTTCAGTTGATGTTGTTTGATCCAGCGACATCGAAACAGGGCCACCGTTATATCCCTTCCATAGTCAAGTTCCCATATCTCTTCAATGATGCCAAAGTATTGGATCTTTCGGCCCAATCCATCGAGAGCCTCTATTCAAACGCCGTTGTTTTGGTTCACATATTTACTATCCTTTGCGTGGGTATAGTACGTATACCCATTGATGTCATAAGCATTTCAAGATGTCACCTATCTCGATGGCCCCTCCGCCAACCTACTGATGGTAATAGAGTCTATGGTTTCTCCAGGCGGCATGTTTTGGTCCTTCAATCATGTAGTTAGTCATTACTTGTGTTGTTTCATGACCCAATCATCCGAACGGCCATTTCTCTCCGCCATAATGATAGCCAAGTGTTCATCAATGTACGGTTGCATCAGTTGTGTACTCTGCAAGACACTGTAATGCGCCCGACTCACCTCTTTGTAATCATGGTCAATGAACACTTTTCTACCACTAGTGCCCTTCCTAGCCAGCCTACTCTTGTGACGAGAATCGGGTTTACCAATCCCTTTCTGTACTTTTAGGTACTCTTGACAGCACTCGACGACTTCTTTAGTACTGTAACCCTCTATCATGGAGCCCTCTGGGTATGCTCGATTATGCACGTATCGACTTAGAACCAACATGAACTGCTCATAGGACCACATTTCATGCAAGTAGCAAGGGCCTAGCACCTGTATCTGATGAACCATGTGAATCATGAGATGTGGCATTATATCAAAAAAAGCAGGAGGTAAACACATCTCTAGTTGATTTTGTGTCTCCACCACAAATTCATGTAGGTCACTCAGCTCTTGCTTGCCAATCGTCTTCTGTGAGATCTTCGAAAAGAAGTAGCACATGCGGGTGATGGCCATTTTCAAGAACTTTGGCTTTATAGCCCTGAATGCAATAGGTAGAAACACTATCAGCATCACATGGCAATCGTGAGCCTTGTAGTGTGTTATTGACAAGTCCTTCATCGACACTAGTTTCTTCACATTTGCTGAAAACCCAGTCAGGACTTTGACCCCCCTCAGAAAAGTGCATATAGCTCTCTTCTCATCTGGTGTTAGGTTGAAGCACACCGCGGGCAGAGTGTATTTTCCATTAGCCTCATGTATTGGGTGAAGCTGTGGCATCATGTTTAGCTGTGGCATCATGTTTAGCTGCACCATGTCTTTCAGTGCTTTCAGACCATGCTTTAACTTGCTTGTGTCCATCAAGGTAGCAATGAGACTCTCAAAGACATTCTTCTGCACGTGCATAGCATCAATGGCATGGGGGACCTCCAAGTCTGGCCAATAAGGCAGATACTGAAAGAAGATCGATTGTTTCTTAAAAGGTACGCCTTCGGCAGGAGGTGTGCTTCTATCTCTGTTTGTCCCATCCAGATTCTTCTTTCCATAGACGACGCGTATGTTTTTCACCATTCTGTACACGTGTTCTCCGTTATGACGTCTCTCCGGAGGGGGTTCAATCTCCGGGACATCTCTCAAGGAACACATCTATATTAATGACTGGTTGTTTAGGGCCAGAAATAAGAATAGTGAGGAGAAGGTACTTTCTCTTCTAACAAACCATGTTGGGATGTTGTACATGGTCAAGATCACTGGCCAAGTGCTGTGGTCGCTCATCCTCTCATTGAAGAGATTCATTCCATCGGTGCTCAAGCCAAACCATACATTCTTGGGTCATTGCTGAATTCTTTGTGCTTCTCATCAAACCTTTGCCACTGACTACAATTAGCCAGGTGTGCAATCTTATCATCATCCACCTTGCGCTCATCATCCCACCATGTCATGAGTGCGGCTTCTTTAGGGTTTAGGAAGATACGTTTCAAGCGGTCGGTCACTGGCAGGTACCACATTACCAAGGCAGGAATTCTTCTCTGCTTTGCATCGTTGCCTAATGGAGTGTCCTCTGGGGCCTGAGATTCTTGTACCACCTTTTGTGTACCATTTTTATTCCTCTTTTCCTCCGTGGAGGCTTCGTCCCCACCGTAAAGGTCATTGTTCTTGTACCGGCTGGCCCCATACCAGGGACATTTATCCAGTGACTTGAACGTTTCACCACGAAAAAGTATACAATGGTTGGGCATGCATGGATTTTTTTCAACCCCCATTGTCAATGGACTTATGACCTTCTTCGCTTGGTATGTGTTGACGGGAACTAAGTTTGGTTGTGGCAGCACCCATGACAGGAGATGCAATAGATCATTGAAACTACAGTCTGACTAGCCATACTTAGCCTTCAGGATGAGCAGCTCAAGCACAAAACGTAGCAATGTCCAATGTGTCGGACAACCCTTTTCAACACCATACACAGTCTCCTTCGATGCTTTTGTCACCCTTTCCAAATTTTCTAGACCTTTCGGTCTATTTAGTAAAATCTCTGGTCCAAGGGCTCGAATCATGTCCTCCAAATCATCTTCATCCCCGACACGTGCTCCACGATCATTATTGGCACCACCTTCGTCGTTACCATCCCAACCACCAGCATCACCACCTTGTTCATTGCCAAACTCGAAATCCATTTGTGCATCAAGCTCTGCTAAATATTGGGACAGGGATTCTATGGTTTCGTCGTCGTATTCCTCCTCTTCCTCGTCGTTAACAATAACCGTTTCACCATGATGAATCCACACTGTGTAGTCCTCAACAAATCCTCGTCATAATCAAATGTGATCTGATGATAGTCACATCTTTCCATGCTATACGGTTCTTGCAATCTTTACAAGGACAAATAATTGTATCCTTATTCTCTTTCAATGTCGTTGCATGCTTCTTTGTGGCTTCAATAAGTTTATCCACCTCTTCACGGAAACCTGCCTTAAACCTTAACGAACCATACATCCAAGAGTTCCTGTACTCCATCTTTTACAACAACAACAAAACAAACATTAAAGGACTACTTATTCAGATATATATATAAAAATGAATCAAATTAATAATTACTTGACAATAATTGTATATACTTCAGATATATATGAATATAAAACTAATATAATTACATGAAGCATACAAGCACACCATGGTAGAGAAAAATTAATTAATCGCCCATTTATCCATAAATAATTAAAATACATATTTATTGATTATAATAAACAATTTCAAAGACAACAATTAGCAACAATTATACTTTACCCAATATCTTTCATACAAACCCTAGTCCAATTTTATCAAACATAAATTTACAAAAACGAAATTAATAAAAAAACCAAACCCTAGATCTAGATCTACATGCACATGAAACATGCATAAAACTAACTAATTGTTCACTAAAATCAAGAAACATGGACCAAATAAGGGTATGATCTTGTTTCCCTCCCTAATTTACCCTAGTACATTTAAAACTTGGGTCTAATTTGCTTCATAAGTAGCTCAAGCACCATACAAGAGAGAGAAAAACAAAACTTTAATTACTCACTAACCAACCATTAAAACTTCAAAAAAAAAGTGTGGAATAGCATTTTCTTACCTTCTACAACCTCTCCATCAAAGGATTTGAGACCAAAACCTTCCCCCTTAGTAGAACAATTTTTGGGAGGTGCTCAAGGCCTCCTCATCTTTCTTTCACGGGTTGGAGTGAGTGACCTGAGAAGAAAAAAGGTGCTGCAGTTGTGTTATATGTGCGTCATTTGTGCCGTGATTGAGCCGTCCCTACAAATCGGAGGTATTTTATACGGGGGCATTTGTAGGGGCGGCTCAATCACCAGCCTCCCTACAAATAGCAACGCCGGGGGCGGCTGGTGAGTGAACCGCCCCTACAAATCAGACCCATCTGTAGGGGCGGCTCGTATCACCAGCCGCCCTTGCTGTTCCATTTGTAGGGCCGGCTGGTGTCTGAGCTCCCGAGCACGCCACGGTAGGGGCGGCTCCATCACCAGCCGCCCCTACAAAAAAAATTCATCCCGTTGCTAAAAATCATTTTTTACGTAGTGAGCCATCAGTCGCCATTAGTTCACAGGGAGGACCACATATACTATGGTACTATACCAACAAATTCCACCACACTACAGAGTCTGCAGCCCTTATCTTCGTCACAGGCCAAAAGTAATAAGCCCGGGGTGTCGTCATGGATGATGGATTACGCGTACTTACAAAACCATCGTAATGGGTGATGGCTGTACTTAGACATGACTTGGCAACTGAACCAGATGCACACGTCTATAAAACTGCAGGAGGAGGCCACACAGTGCTTGCAGTGGGTATAAAAGGCGATGAGGATAAGCATAGCATCTATCTATATTTTCTCAGTTGTGTACTACCCCATATGAAACTGAGCTCTATATAAGCACTCCATTTCTAATTTGTCACTTGTGTACTACCCCATATGACACTGAGCTCCATAGCCGCCCCTATGCTTTTAGTTATCAATACAAAAGACAGGCCGGTCGGCCTAGTAGTGTATGGTGTACAGATGTAGGAGTATATATATAGCTACTCTGAGTTAACGAATCCGAAAGTAGGCCAGTGACGCACAATCAGCAGATTAATATGGCGAGCATCAGCGGCGACGAGAAGATGGATGCGGTGGTGCAGAACAAGAAGGTGGCGCTAAGGAGGTACGTCACCGGGCTCCCCACCGAAGAGGACATGGAGATCATCGTGGACACTATCAGTCTGCGCGTGCCGGCGGGGCAGACCGCCGTGCTGGTCACGAACCCCTACCTGTCCTGCGACCCCTGGATGCGTGACCGCATGAGCAAGCACGATGACGGCGACCCCACCGTGCTCGCCCCGGACTTTGTCATTGGAGAGGTACGCGTCCAAATTCTATCCACCGTTAATTGGAGCATTAGAATCTGTTGAAGAAATCTGTGTGACATGTGTGTGATTCATTGATCATCAGGCCATGGTCAATTTCGGTGTGGGCAAGGTGATCGACTCAACGCACCCAGACTTCACCGCCGGCGACCTCGTCTGGGGGATGAGTGGATGGGAGGAATACACACTCATCACCCAGACGGAATAGCTGAACAAGATCAACCACAGCGAGCTGCCGCTCTCCTACTACACGGGGGTTGGTCAGCAATCTCATCAATGACTGCATGCACCGTTCTGTCTAGTTCTATAAATTCTTCTACATTTTTCTTTCAAAATATACCGGTTTTGCTCGTCAGTCGTCACTGACGTTGGTCCAATGTCGCCACCGTCCAGGCATGCCCGGGCTCACTGCATATTCCTGCTTTTTCGAGCTTGGGAAGCCGAAGAAGGGCGACTTCGTGTTCGTCTCAGCGGCGTCAGGCGCCGTCGGGCAGGTCGTCGGGCAGCTTGCCAAGATCGCCGGTTGCTACGTGGTTGGCAGCGCCGGCTCCAACGAGAAGATCAGTCTCCTCAAGGCCAAGTTCGGCTACGACGACGCGTTCAACTACAAGTCCGAGACCGAGCTCAGCACCGCGCTCAAGCGGTGCCTTCCTGACGGCATCGACATCTACTTCGACAGCGTGGGCGGCGCGACGCTGGACGCCGCGCTGCTACACATGCGCTACGGCGGCAGGGTCGCCGTCTGTGGCATGGTCTCGCAGTACGGTTTGGAATAGCCGTACGGCGTGCGCAACCTGTACTGCATCATCGGCAAGACCATCCGGATGGAGGGTTTCAACGTTAATGGCTACTTCCATCTGTACCCAAGGCTTGAGGAGGAGATGGCGCTGGCTACATCAAGCACGGAAAGGTCACCATCGTGGAGGACGTCGTCGAGGGCATTGACGGCGCACCGGCAGCTCTAATCGGGTTGTTCTCTGGCAAAAATGTAGGGAAGCAGTTGGTTGCGATTGCAAGGGCATGAATGAATTATTGAAGCAGGAACAAGTCTTATGCTACGTGCAGTGTGTGACGCCAGCGGACTGGGTGTGGTCTGGGGGTAATACAATCTGATGGGATAATAGAGCCTCTCCCTACCAGCATCATAACGTTATTGTATTGAGAACAAACATATTTACAATTTGCATTTCATCAGCATATTCACATCTAAATAAATGCCAGTGTACTATTATTCAACACATTTCCGTCATGATAAAGCAAACAAGCAGTCACTAGTGTTAGTACATCTCCTCACTCTCTAAATCATTATTTAGAGAGTCATCTGCATAAAAATCACTTTCTATATGTTTTCACTCACCAACAAATTTTTTATATCTTGTGTATACCCTAAAGAGGTATTTTTGCTATCTATTTTTAGCTAGCGAGAAATTCGGAATTGAAGATGATTATATTTAGATAACCACTTAAGGAAGCTGTTGGTGGATATTTTTTCCATCAAAATCTCAATTCCTAACAATTAGTAAGGATATAGAGAGTCTATGAGTTGCTCTTAATACGTTGTATAGGTGATTAAGGAAACCAACTGCATGATCTGGTTTAAAAAACCATATACACTACTTAAACAATTTGTAGTGGCGGCTAGTAAGCCTCTATAGACGTAGCTGACCTAGACGCTCTACATGTCCATTGATTTGTAGATGTGGCTAGAAACATGAATCGCATCTACAAATCAATTTCTAGAGGCGGATCGAAATCTGGCCATCTCGATCTAGAAACCACTCACCAAGCAGGTCAGATCGTCGAGCATCACAACTCACAAGTCATGTGATTTTTCACGTATGTACAGCTGGTGGGATTCAAACACCTAACCACTTCACCACAAATCACTTTTGACTAAAGGATAGATACATTCCTTTTGTATTCACTTTACTAGATTATGAAAATATTATTTGAGACGTTAAACAAATTCAAATGAAAAATATTTCAACTGGAAAGTTAGATATTATCAAGTACTGCAACTTTGGTTGGTGGTTCCTCCAACTAAGACCGTTCCAAAAATTAAAATATAAGAAATTCAAATAGAATTTTCATTGGATAACATGATTTCAAATGAAAAGGTTATCAATTACAAAGTTGTATAGCTCTTTGAGATCTACAACTTTAGGTTGGTCATTTCTCCATTCGAAGTCATTTGAAAAATTTGAATAACAAAATATGTGAATTTTGGGACCATAGATTATTTTCCATGAAAAAATTATCAACTATAATGCTTTTGATCTTTTTTTGAGATCTATATCTTTGATTTTGGTCATTTCTGCATCTGAAGCCATTTTAAAAATAAAAAAAATTGAATTTCGAAATGTTAGAACTGCAAGCAGAATTTGCTGGATCTATATGATTTCAAATGAACAAGTCATCGACTATAAAGGTGTAGATATGTTCGAGGTATCTAACTCTGATATAAAAGTTTGTTTTCATACTTCTTTGTTAGAAAAAAAATTGAATTTTATAAAGTTGCACCAATTTTAGAGACGGTTCTAGATCAATGATCACTACAAATCGATACCCAACTTTGATATAAAAGTTTGTTTTCATACGTCTTTGTTAGAAAAAATTATGCATTTTTTATTATGTTGCACCTATTTTAGAGACGGTTCTAGATCCAGGCACCACTACAAATCGATTCCGAGAGGCGTGGCTCAAGATATAGCTGTCTCTAAAGAACGAGGCATTTTTAGAGGCGACTAAAAATATCTACCATCTCTAAAAAATTATATCTAGAGACGAGTCATTTCAGAAACCATTTTTAAACGTAGTTTTAGATAGAGCTGCCTCTACTAAAAAAGTGACACTGCTACAAATCAATTTTGTAATAGTAAGATGGTAAATCTGATGCTTTTGCGGTGAATGACAGCTAGCTAGATTTTCGAATGAAATAGCGGAAATGTAAATCTAACACTTTTCCTGGCATCGGACAGGGCTGGGCGGTAGATGCAGGGCGGCACCGGCGGTGTCCATGGGGAAGAAGAATGGTGATTGAACGAACAAGAATGGTGATTTAGAGATGACTTGTGGGGCCTATGTATCAGTGACGTGGAGGACTAGAGGGAGAGAATAGCAGGGACACTTTAGTCAATACAAGAATATGGTAGCCTGCAGATGGGACCAACAATGTCTAGACCATAGAAAGTGGCAAGATTTTTTTTTACGCGAGAAAGTGGCAAGGTTTAGATAGATGACAAATTATAATGGCAAGTTTCTAATTAGCTGAATTGTAGTGGTGTTTCTGGTAACCGTGAATTTTATAATGGCATGAATGCAAGATAGCCAATATGCAATCATCGCAACCACTCACCAAGCACCCACCAACCATGTGTGAATCCCTCGTATCTTGTTCCCTTTCTTTTTCTCGATTACACAGCATCATTTAGACACTCACAACGCACGCACATTGACCTCAATGAATGCACACACGCAAACTCTATCTATGTGAGCATTTTCGAAGACTGAACCGGTAAATCCTCAAGATTGACCAAATCACCACAGGCGCCTCGCTATCGACGGGAACGTCAATCGCCTACCACCGAAAGCATAAAAGCCGTTAAATCCAGGAGTATTCGCTCTCACGAGGAGTCCAACCCAGGACCTGAGTTGCTACTGAAGCTCTTGTAACCAATAAGCTACAAGCCCTTTCGCTCATATCTTATTTTGCAACTTCTTGTACTACCCCATATGAAATTGAGATCTCCATATTAGCAATCATAGCAGCTCCTCACCAAGCACTAAGCATGCGTGAATCCCTCATCTTATTTTCCAACTTGTCTGCTACTACTACAGTACTACCCCAGATGAAACTGAGCTCCATAGCCGCCTCCAAGAATACCTCTTGTCTGCTACTACCACTACGGGAGACGCGCTCTTTGCCGAGTGCTCGGCGCTTTGCCGAGTGTCGAAACACGGGCACTCGACAAAGAGGCAGTTTGCCGAGTGCCGCACTCGGCAAAGCCGGCCCTCGGCAAAGAATAACCCTTGGCAAACGTCCTATTTGCCGAGTGTCAGACACTCGGCAAAAAATAACCCTTGGCAAAATACCTCAGCCGACGCCGGTGGCCCCTCCGTCATCCTTTGTCGAGTGCTGGCCGTTAGCACTCGGCAAACGTGCTGTTTTTGCCGAGTGCTGCAAGCCTGGCACTCGGCAAAGAGGTTCCTTTGCCGAGTGCCAATTCGGACACTCGGCAAAGTATTTTTATTTTTTTTTATTTTTGTTTTCAATTTTTTTCTGTGGCATTTATACAGTACCTTGAAGCACATGTTCCAATTTGAAACTTTTCTATTATTTTTTGGTATATTTTTAAAATTTTTTATGTTTACTTGAATTTTTCTCGAAAAAGTAAATTTGAACTGCAGGTGCATAAAATATTAGAATTTAGCGATTCAAAAAATGGTATTCATGTTTTTGAGTGTATTTTGAGGCCGTGTGCAGGGACATTCGTGAAATTTCGAACATCTGTTTCACGAAACATGACCACCAACTTGTTAAACAAGTGTTTTTTAATTATATAAAATGCAAACGAAGTCCGAAAATCACGAAACTTGAAGAGGTGTCATGTCATCGCATGTAGAGGCTGTGGTAAAAATTTAGAAGTTTCCGAGCAAGTTGTGACGTACGATGCCTAAAACCCAGACATCTCCACATGTGATTGGCACTCGGCAAAGGAACCTCTTTGCCGAGTGCCAGGCTTGCAGCACTCGGCAAAGACTATTCAGATTTTTTTTATTATTTTGGATTAAAAGAACATTGAATATCTTTGCCAAGTGCCCGCATCTCGGCACTCGGCAAAGAGCCGCCCCAATTAACCCTAGCGGGCCGGCCGGCCCGCTCCCACTCTCTCACTCCCTCTCACTGTCGCGCGCGCTCGGCCCCGCACCGCCGCCGCGCGACCACCGGCACCGCCTCGGCCCCACTCCGCCGCCGGAATCAGGCCCTGCCCCAG